AGCAAAATTATATACTATATTTCTAACAAAAGCTGAATTCAGCTTTTGTTATAATAAAGCATCTTCATTTTCCACATTAGATATGTATTTATATAAAATTAAGTCTTAAAAACAGTAAAACTAATATAATTAGTCAAGTTCACTATAGGCTTTCGGCCTGCGAACTCGACTGGCCCCCATGGCTTATATCCTACTATACTGATTGTTGCACCTGACGCTCGCCGCTTAGGTACACTTTTAGCAAAAGTGTCAAAGCTTTTTTTCCGCTACAACATTTGTTACGATATGCCCTGATGCCTCGATGGCATGAATTTCGTCATCTTTTAGGCCATGAAATTAATGCTTATCTCATTTCATGGCATACCTCACAAAGTTGAATCATTTCGATGGTATAAATTTCGTCGCCTTTTAGGCTATGAAATTAATGTTTATCTCGTTTCAAATTACTGTTTACAAGTTTAAATTAAATGTACGCATAAAGATTTATTTGAATAAAAATATATACAGAGTAAAAATATTGAATTACAAATATTTAGTAAAATCATTTTTTGGATTGTTAATCAAATCTTTCCACATGGATGCTACTAATTTAAATGCTGCGTTATGATCTAATTTTGGATTATTTCTTTTAATTATTGGGCTCGATTTTTGCATGTTTTAAGAGCACGAACTACCGTGTAAATTTCTGCATAATTGTTATCCTGAAATGAACCTCAGCATAGAAATATTTAGATGATTGTGGCATTTTTTAAGGAAAAAAAACTGAAAGTGTGCCCAAGTAGTGAACGTTGGGTGCAGCAATCAGTATAGTAGGATATAAGCCATGGGTGCCAAACAAGAGTTAGTATAATAGACGAAATGATTTCAAATATCATACAAGTTGGGATCCTTCTCTTACCTGAACAAAACAGTTTAATTTTAACTTAAAAAAAAATGAGGTTTTTTGAACCAATTCATCCTTTTCACAGATTATAATATTTGTTTTAGATGTCAATCTATCTGTTTTTTACACTCATCCCAAGTGGTATATACACCCAGCTTGCGACCAGTGCAAACCACGCAACCCTAATGTAGAGTGATATAGTATAGAAAACATGCTTGTGACCAGTCACCGCGAGGAAGATGGCATACAAGGGTAATTTAGATTTACCAACCAGATGGGAGGAGTGAGGTTAGTACAAAGTAAGGAAAACGAATGTCTAGACGATGCATGGTTGGAGCTCCTCACTTTTAATATTTCAAATATAAATTACGTTTAATAAAAAATGAACGTTTATATAGTTTTTTAAATATGATAAAAATTATAAAAGCTGTTGAATTGTATTAATATAGACGATAGTTTCATGGTTGATAATGAAAAATGGTTATAGATGTAACTGGTTTCACTATCGCTTCATTTGGGAACCTTCCTAAATGTCACGTCTTTTTTAAAAGAAATACTCACACCTTGAGTAACACAATTATTTAATAATAAATTTTATGTTAAAAAGATTTCTTTATTATGTTTGAAAGGTTTATAGAGTATAGTTACATCGTCTACAGTCTTAAAAACCTCTAGAACAAAAATCTGTTTGTGTCTGCAATACTTGAAAGCAGGTCTGGTGATTCCAGCATTCCCCGCAACAAATCTAATATCATTTTTACCAATAATCCCTTCATCCAGGTCATCTTGAACAACCTTTTTCACATGTTT